TCAATACGTTAACGAAAACGGTTAACCAATCACGCGAAAGCGGCAAAAAATTGTTATTGCGCATCAAACAATAGCAAATTCACGCAAGCTTGATAACACCTTGACTCCGGACCAACCAGACCAACCAGACCAAAATCAGTCTCCAGACCAATTCAATTCATCGAGTGTAGCGCTTGAACTGATGCAGGAGCAGCTGGGCGAACTTCGGACCGAAAATGAACAACTTCAGACCGAGAATGACCAACTCCGTGCACGCATTAATGAACTCATAGAGCAAGGCTCGATCGCTGGCTTTGTTGATGCTTTAGAGCAAGCTCTGGGTGATGGAGATAATAAAGATACCAGCTTTGAGATTGTTGATGCTCCATCCACTCCTCCAGTCGCTCCAGCCATACCCGTTGAGGTTCCAACCACCCTCGTTGTTGCTTCAGCCGCCTCACCCGTTGATGTTCCAGCCGATCCTGCTCCATCTTCATCCAACGGTGTGCTTGCATATGTGACTGATAAACTTTCGAGGGTGTTTTCGCCATCTAAATCGACACCAGCTCAAGCACCGACACCACCAACGCCAACACCTTCAAAACGAAACGCAGCGATTCAACTTACAAAAAAGAGCCAACGAAGAATACTCGAGGTCGACCCAAAGGAACAAAAGGACGCAAGCGCACAGAGCTCGAGCAGTTGGTAGAAGATCAAGCCAATGTACATATGAGTGGCAAACGAACCAGACGCATCGTCACACAGTAAGTTTCAACTATCGACTTTTCATCACAGGAAGTCTCATCAATCATCATGTTCTCAGTTTTTACCATAGTCGTCTTACCAAGTAGTTTGTCGATGTTTAATTTCTTGAAGGAGTCTTTATTTTTGGTAACTTGTTGATGTGAAATTGGTTCCGGTTGGACGAGTAATGCTTCATATACTGGTTGTTTGTTCTTGGGAGGCTCTTGAAAATCTTTCACTTCTCCTAAGATGACAGGATCAGGTTCGACAAGATCAACGTACTCAATGTTCATAATGTGTCACGAAGCGCAGGCGAGGAAACGTTGGCGGAGGAAGGCGAAGTCGTTGGCGCAAGGTGAGCGCTGGCGGAGGCTGTTGGAGAGGAGGTCCTGCTGACTTAGAGGGAAAATGAGAAGTGATTTATTCAATCAGTTTATCGGGACGCTAGGCTTACTAGCCACTCGTCCTTGGCGACCTAGACACGCAAC